AGATAATTATTATATAAGGATTATCTTTAACTATCTAATTATTACACAATTATAACAACATATTTCATTGCATAGTTACTATATCATGGCTATATAAGAATAACTAATTCTCTAACTATGATTTAATATCTTTTCATAATTACTACATTTACTCTTAATTTTAGATGTGGCATATTGTATCAAGTAATACTAATTTTATTTATCAACATTTTAATTTATAATTACATTTTTATTATGAGACGTTTCTGCAATTTCTTTAATAATGAATATTAATCATGCTTTTTGTATCACATTTCTGGTCATGTGATTTGATGTGTCTCATTTTCATTGGGTAATAGTATAAACTATGAGTCAAAATTGGTAATAATATAATTAAAAATATGTGATACAAGACGTGGATTAATATATGGTATTCTTCAGAAAGTCACTTAGTAATTAGTATTAGAATCTTATTACCATAAGCATATGTTTGTTTGTATAGTAATTTATTATTATTAAAAATGGTTTTGTTTTAATATGAATAGATAAACTCAGATTACAAATATATGTAATATTAATGAAACAGATTTGATAAAAAAGAAATTCTTTTATAAATGGTATAATAAAAAAAATATATATATTATCATTGATGAAGTCAGATAATATATAGGTTAACTTTACAAGTATCTAAAAGGCCTTTACCATTGAATAATCCTTCAGATAAAGCTATTACTGATACACCAGTTCTTAAATCAGAATATTAAATCATCATTATTATTTTATTTAAAGTAAATGAATATTTTATGTGAAATTAAATTATACTTTATAAATTGTATCTTGAAGTTTGAGTACTTTCAAATTTTATAACTTGGAAATCAGATTCAACTCCATCCTAAATTTTGCATATCATTTACAGTTATCAAAATAAGGTTTGATTTCTTTTTGTTTGTTTTTCCTTATAGAAAAAGGATTTTTATGCTAGAAAGGCAATCAAAATAAGCTTCTTTTGCAACAGATACATTAGTAAATCTTTTTTCTAATCCATCATAAATTGTAATACTTCTAATAATTTATAGAAGTTATTTCATGCTATTAAAACTTTATACATTTTGCAAGAACTTATAAATTACCATATCTAGCAACCAAGTGTAACCTTTTCAGTCACATTTATCAGGATAACTTATAGATTTGATGTCTAGAAAAAAGGTTATTTGCAGTAAAAAAGATGATTATTTAGAAGATATTCTAGTATACTTATATGATTTGCATAGTATTGTATTATAGGACACAAACAAATTGATGATAAATACAAAATATAGAATGTGGTGAATTTTTTTTAAATTTTAAATTTTAAATTTTGAAAATTTTTTCTAAAATTAAAAATATTGAAAAAAGAGGGAAATTAATCTTTTTATTTATCTTCATAAAAATTTTTTTTTATTCAATCAATTAACGTGATTAATTGATTTTATATTTTTTTGATTGGCTAATAAATTTAACTTTTGTGATACAAATATTTGATGCGCAAATCTTTTTTCTTTAATTAACTGAAATAGGACGAAATAAATTTATTTCTAATTGTTTTCGAATTTATTTTTAGTAATAGTCAAAAATTATTTTAAGCCTATTTAAAATATGTTGGTAAAACTGGTAAAACCTTCCAAAAATACATTATTAATTTTTCGTTTTTTATTATTTACTGCAATAAATTAACGTATGAATTCTATATCATACTTTTTTTAGGTAATAGAAATCTTTATTAGATTTTGCGAATGATTTTGCATGCTAGATAGAATTCTGACAGATAGAATTACGCAGAATCGGAGCTGCGCCTCATTCATAAGTAAAATCTTATTTATATCGATAATTGCTTTTTTGGGGAAATCATTGTTAGTTGTAGTCCCAAATTCCAAATACGTCGCGTCTATTAAATAGAACCAATTCGGACATTAACGCATTTGTGTTACAATGGTTATGTGCAGTTCATGTTTATAGGTTATGTAAAGGAGGTAAGCATAAAGTTTTTAATTTTTTTTCAATCTTTAAGTTTTATATGTTGAAAACGAATGCAAAGGTAAGCAGAAAGTTTATATTTTTTTTCACGTAATTTATTAATAACAACGAAATACTAATCTAAATCAAGTATTGCGGCGTTCTATATGCATTATTATAAATCACGTGATAATATTTACGTGATTATGTTAAACACACTATTTGCTTTTTAGTATTAGTTTAGGATTTAGTTTAGAGTTAATTTAGGTCAGGATCACATTTATGAGCTTTTTTGCTGATGTTTTTAGGGAGCCGCAATCAAAATAATAATTTATAATTAATAAAAAATTGATTATAAATCAGACAATATTTATTAAGGATAAAATTTAATTTACTTTTTTATTAATGTCAACAACGGTAGAATTTAATAATAATTTCTAATTCTCTAAATCCCCAACACCATAACGTGATTCAAAGTCACGAGAATATCCTTTGCTTTGACCATAACGATAATCTGGTTGTAATAATTCTTTTTTTCTTTCAACTGGTTTAATTGTCAAAAATATGCAAATATGCAAGTGTATCACTCGATATGCATCAAGCAAGTCAGATGATCTAATTAGCTGTCACATATAAAATCTTTTCAAAGATTGTATTCATAATACATTGTGTTAGCTATAGCCGTAATTGACGGCTCCTGTGGTAAGATTTTTAAAAGAGAATGTCATTTTATCAGATTATAGCATCTAAACTACTTTGCTTTTATTAGAAAAAATAGTGACTGTTTAGTCGTAATATGGGACAAGCTGATTCACAGCCTTTACAAGAAATGGTTGATAAAAGCAATTGTATATATTTTAAAATTTACTCTTTACACAATAATATACAGGATCTAATGTATATAAATTTATAATTAGTCACTCCAGAAGAGATCCAAAGACTCTATAAAAGGTTTATGAAACTCGACAAAGATGGTTCGGGTTCCATTGACCGAGAAGAATTTCTTTCAATTCCACAGATTGCAAATAATCCTTTAGCATCAAGGATGATTGCTATATTTGATGAAGATGGTGGTGGAGATGTAGATTTTAAAGAATTCATTTCTGGCTTAAGTGCCTTCAGTGCAAAAGGAAATAAAGTTGAAAAATTGCGTTGTAAGTTTTTTATTATTTTTATTTTTATCTTTTTTGTTTTAAATTTCAAAGGCGGCTAAAAAGTCAATTCGGTTCATTATAAAGTTGCATTTAAAGTTTATGATATGGACAGAGATGGATTTATTTCTAATGGAGAACTGTTTCTTGTCCTAAAAATGATGGTTGGAAATAACCTCAAAGACAATCAACTCCAGCAAATTGTTGATAAAACTATCATGGAAGCAGATAAAGACATGGATGGAAAGATTTCTTTTGAGGAATTTTGTTCAATAGTAGAATCTACTGACATTGCAAAAAGTTTAACTTTAACCGAATTCTAAAGAAAAAAAAAAATTATATATATTAATTAATTAAAATTCAAAAAGAATTTGGTGTTGGTTTCTATATCACATTTTAAAATAATTTATTCAATCACCCTCATTTTGATATGAATTTGCTTGATATTGCAAATAAACAGCTTAATTCAACTTTATTATTTATGTTTGAAATAAAGTAATATTCAACCTATAATTATTTATTATGTCTAATGTTAATAAATGCTTTGTGCTAAATTATCTGTGTAAACTCGAGGTTTAGTTAATATGAGAATTTAAAAAAAAATCATTTTGGAATGAAAGCGATACATACTTATCTAGTCGCTTTTTAATCTTATTTATTAAATAATCTCTTCTGATAATTATGTGTTGTCAACTTTGAATCTTTTTTGTATCTTCGATATGCTTCACGTAAATGTTCTGGTGATATAGAACCGGTTTCTCCCCATTCTTGTCTAACATCAAGAGCTTTTTATGATTAAAAAAAAATAATAAGTATAAGTTTGAAATTTTTTAATGTTTTTTTTTTTAGTTTTATTTCTGTATAAAGACCTTTCTCGATAATTTCACCCACGAAAACTTTGGCAAAACCAGCTACAACTATTGACATGTTATGTGAACATGGATGACCAAGTATTTGCCCAACCATCTAATTGATGATATTATTAATATTATTTCATTTGTCAAAAAAAAAAAAAATAATTAAATAAGAAATAAAATCAATTACCCTTTTAACATTTGGCTTACTTAGCGCCGAACGTCTGTAAACTTCATATCGTTTTAATTGTTCCTCTGAAAAATTATCCAATAACATCCTAAATAAAAGAATACATGATCAATATTGGTTAAGATACAAACTCATTTAATCATTTTGTTTATTTACTTGAGTTCCTCTTTAGTTCTCGTTTGACTCCATTCGGCATTTTCAGTTCCACCCAATTCATCATCAGCATCATCTTCCTCTTCACCCTCTCCTTTATTATCATTTACTTTAGAAGTACCAGCTTCTGCAAGATCATTATCATTAAACGTAAATTGATCAAGTTCTGAAGCGGGTGTTGGAGGTACAGAAAAATAAGCATCACGAGGTGTAGAAGGTGTTGTACTTGGTGCAGGCGTTGTAACAGATGAAATCGATCCATCAAAATTGTCTTGCTGAGTTCTTTGTGAGGAGGTTAGTTGTTGACGTTGTATACTCATTTTACGCCCTCCACCAACACCGGCACTTCCTCTTCTGCCTCGTGTGGTGCCTCGTGTGCTTCCTCCACGTCCGGCGCCTCTTGTAGATTTTGAAGCCGCGCCGGAACTACCACGTTTACCACCACCTCTACCTGATGCATTAACAGGCGTTGAACTTGATTTTGTTAATTTTGGTCTTTTTGCAGCTCCTGCCGAGGTAGAATTTTTACGTGATATGGTGAAATCCGGTGCTGGCCGTTGGTCCATTTTGTAAATTCAGAATTCTAATTTAATAAAAGCTATAAATGAAAAAGAAAAAAAATGTAAAATTACTTTATTGCTTTTCAAGTTATTTATCACCAAATACCAAGTTATTGGTTCGATGACCATTTTGGTTAACCATACATAAATAGTGCAGCACATATCCACAACGATTTACTTGCCCCTTTTATCAATAGAAAAATGAAACACATTTTAAGTGTTGTTAGTTTAATTTTATTCTTAGTACTTATACTTATTAGTTTCCCTAAAGAGCTTGGTGAAGTTCCGCAACAAGATGTTGCACGCTGGACTAAATATCCAGCATGGCATCCTAATATTATCGGTTTGTAAAACATTTATTTTTTTATTTTTTTTTTTTTTTACCATCTTAAAAATGTCTCTTCTATTTTGCAATAAATATAGATTATGATCTTGAAATAGCTGATTCTATAGTTTTATTGGCATTCATACTTACTAGTTGTTCAGCTTATCTTGGGTTAAAATGGTCATATAAACAACCAAAATATAAAAAATATGTCACTTTTTTTTATAAAGATGAAATAGCAACACCAACGACAGGTTTTATTATTTTATTATCCTATTACATATTAATAACTGGATTGGGTGAATTTACTTATTGGACATTAGACGTCGGTAAATTATGGAGTGTTACTGGTGTATTACATAATGTATTGGAAATTGCGATTTTAATCTTGTTACATAACGGAGGAAAATTGAAATCAAATTTGACTTTTGCTTGGTTGGGAGGATATATTTTATTGGTTACTATATTAAGCATGAAATTAAAATGGCCTTATGACGGTATTTGGTTTAAGATCCAAGGTAAAAAAATTTTTTATTGATATATTTTTATTTTATTTTTTTAAAGGTTTCTGCTAATAATATTTTGAATTATTTAGGACTTTGTTCAGATTATGCTTTAATTATTCAGTTTGTTCGTGTTTATTTATCAACACGTAAAAATCTTCGAGAAGCATATGATGAACAGCTTCCTTTAAACAATCCAGTTTTACCCTCTGCTTCGCAAAATAAGTTTTCTTATGATGAATTTTTCCCAAATAATGTTTCTCATCCGAATCAGATTATATTATTGATCTTAGGTTCTATAACGCATTTAATTGGTAATATTGCAAATAGTATTTGGATGCAAAGTGCCTTAGCGTAAGTTTTTTTTTTAAAAAAAAAAATACCATTTTTTTATATACATGCATGCATACTAAATCAATTTATTTATTCATGTTAGGTTTTATGTATTTCAATTAAGTTATGTTGTAACTTGGCCTTTTTATGCTTATTATATTTTTGTTGATACTCATTGTGCTGGTAAGTTTCAGCAAAAGCGTATTTATTTACCTGAAACCAAACGTTGGAAGGTTATTTTTGTTACGATTTTGACTATTACTTTGAGTATTGGTACAGTTAGATTTGCTTTGTTTGTACAAAGTCAGGGAGGAAATTAGAAATTATATTTACTATTGTATTTTAAAATAAAAACCGTGAATTTAGATAGGTGTTAATAAATTTAAAAATAATACTGTTGGTAATCGTTGAGAAATATTTTATTATATACGATTTAATAAAAAATAAAAACATCGGAAAAAATTTATTTCATTTGTAACATATCCTTAAACTTGCCAATTACGTGAAAAGGAAAAAACAAATCTTTAGGACAAGGGCTTAATCTCAGCAGATCGTAGCACTAAGGCTACTCTACTGCTTACAATACCCC